GAGTGGAGACAAGTGGCTGCAAAAGAGGGGAGGAGCGCAGGGCCAAAGGGCCAGGGCTGGCAGGGGGCCCCGCACCCAGCATGGGGGGCAGGAGCCTGGGGCCCACACTGGTGTGTGGGGCCAGTGTCAAGGCCAGTGGAAGCCCGCACCCAGAGCAGGGCGGCAGGAGCACCAGTGCCTGGGGCCAGGGCTGGTGGGGACCTGTGCCCGGAGTGGGGGGGCAGAAGCATGGGGCCCTCATCGGTGCCTGGCAGCAGGGGCCGGTGCCCAGGCTGGCAAGTGGGGCCAGAGAGGACGGTGGGCAGACAAAGGGGGTGGGGAAAGGTGGCAGCAGTGAGAAAAAGCAAGGGGAGGCGGGCATGAGCGTGGGACCCATGCCAGTGCTCAGGGCCAGGACTGGTGGGGGCCAGAGCGAGGCAACAGGAGCAGAGGCCACTGGCAGGCAGGTGGGTGAGTGGGGAGAGGGGGCGGTGGGGCAGGCAGTAAATAATTAATCTCTATTTACATTCATTTCTATGGGGAAATGGGTTTTGCTTAGTGCGGTTTTGCTTAACGCTCCGCTTTTCTGGAGCCAATTAAGAGCGCTAAGCAGGGGTTGCCTGTACTGTCTTATATTGATATGGCACCTGATGCCTTTATGTAAAGGTGTTGCGTTTCATATCAATGGGGGACAGAGGACAACCGGACTGTCCTGTCTGATGGCCACACTAGTAACAACATGAGCCAGACCCAAAACGTGCCAGGCCCAGACATGCAGCAGACATACAGCAGGGCTCAGCAATACAGCTATGCTGAGACAACAGCTGCAAAACAAGAAGAGGGGGACTTGGGCCTGTCCTGCACCAGGGCCTGAGCATTCAACAAAAGAGCACCAGGCCTATTTGTCTGCAGCCCAGACTTAGTCTCAGCTACACTGTTATGCTGGCACGTATCAACTATAAAACAACAAAAAAGGGGCCAGGCCTATCTTGACTTGGGCCTGAACTACAACTAGTGCCCAGCCACACTGCTTGGTTGGGGCATAAATTGTAAGAGGGACAAAAGGAGCCCAGGCCTATTTTGTGGGGCCTGGACTGGGCAGCAATAAGCTGGCCAGGCCTATACACTACTGAGGCCTGGATAAACAACAAGTGGCAGAGCTTTGTCCTGGCCCAAATCTGCCAGCCAAACATATGGCTGGGGTTCAGCTCCACACAGGTGCTGTGAAGCAGCAAAAAGGGCCCAGGATTATGGCTGCAGCCTGGACATCCAGTCTCAGCTCTACCACCACGCTGAGACACTACAATCCCCAACACAGGCAGGCAGTGACCCCGTTCCTGGGCAGCCTGCACTAGGGAAGGATAGGCTCATGACATCCTCCCACTCAATGACTACGTGGCCAAAACTGCCAGCAAGACGCACAGCTGGCGTTCAGCAATACAGCTATCCTGAACCCAAAAGAAGTTGCAACAGCAGCTAAAACATACCAGGCTCCCAGCCCTGGCCCAGAGTTCACCAGCTTCACAACCAGGCTCCAACCGTGGCTAGTTCACTGCAGAGATTGATACCCCACCATGGCATCATCCCACTCAACACCCAGAAAAAACAAAAGGGGAAAGAAGGGGGAAGAGAACAAGGGTCTCAAGCCCTGAGACAGACTTTCTCCCCCTGTACTTGAGGTTTTCCCTTCACATCACTTGAGAAGCAAACTCAAGCTAAGAGGCAGGGGTGACTCCACTATAAGGAGCAGGTTTTCTGGCTCCCCAATTCAGCTTTCAGGTTTCAGCAGCCCCAGGAGCAGGAAGAGAGCCCAGCCCAGGTGGCCGGAACCTTAAATCACTTTTCTGACATCACCTGGTCCCAATCAGAAGCAGCATCATTTGAACACCACTAATGCAGACCAATGACTTCAAAGGTGGTCAGTGCTCCTGGTGAAGTGACCACAGCCACCAAACTGTTTCTGCAAGTCCCTTGAAGGGACTCTTAGGACAATGGTCTGGACAGGATGAGTGGGAGGTAGTTCTCTTTCAGTCCTAGAGGTGGTACAATATACAGCACAAAAAAGATACACAGCAATATGACACCAGCACACAACCCCAAGTGTGCATGGGTGTTACACTTATGACTGGTTTCTTAAGGCTTCCCTGTGTTATATTGCTTTTATTGTAGAGAGGTTGGGGTTTTTTTGGTAGTGACACCTGTTACAGGAAAGAGAGACCCTGATTTACACAGACACTGAGAAACTGCAGCTTCCACCAGGTCTAAGCAAAGCTAAACTATGCATGCTCATCCTTTATTAAGTGGATGCTCTCAGTCTGAGACCCTTTAGAAGAATCTTGGCTCAGGTATTTGTAAAGGTATCCAGATCTTGGGCAGTGGAACTACAAGCCAATCTAACCAAACAAATGCACATCCCTGGGCTTGTATGGGCCACATGTGCCCTGTCTGTGTAATTACTCTGGGCTTGTCTCCACAGGAGGTTTCAAAGAAAATTCACCTGGATTAACTAAAGGGGTGAATTTCAAGTGGCTTAGTTACATTATAATACAACCCTTCACACCTCTGTCCACATTCTCATTCAGAATTTGAGCAGCCTACGTTGAGTTGAGTTGAGTTGAAATCCCTATATGGATATGCTCACTCAGAATTAAAGTGGCCTTTCATTCTTTCTGAATTCATTTTGAAAGTGAACAAATGCGGTTTAGCTAATCCACGTTAACAGGTTATTTAGGACATTTATACACACACATTTGTCTTCTCCAATGCACCGGAGATCCAGCATGGCAGAGCAGACTTGATTAAACACCAGTTGCGTGTCTTGCTGGCAGTTTTGGCCCCACAGGCCTTGAGTGGGATGATGCCATGAGTGTATCCTTCCCTAGTACAGCTCAGTCCAGATCTAGTGCATTGGAGCGGACTCGATTAATCGAGCCTGCTCTGCACATGAGCTGACACACCTGGCACTGCGATGCATGCATTTGTATAAATGACAAAATGCATGTCAACACTGAGAAAATGGCAGTGGTGCCCTTTTGAAGTAAAACTCCTTCAGTGTGTTTTAGTTCAAAAGCATGCCACCACCATTTTTTCAGCACTAATGTACATTTTGCCATTTATACAGATGCATGCACTGCTGTGCTGGATGCTTTTAAAAGTGCCCAGTGCTGCAGCAGGAACATGTGGACAAATGCCATTTATTTTCTTGAGTGGCCATATATTTATTTTCTTGAGCCTCTTAGCTGAGCCAGCCAGGAGTTGAGCTCCCGAGCCGCACACTAACAGAACGTGCAAACAGGCATGATCTGTGGGGGCGCACCGGCGTTTGCACAGGTGTTAGCACAGGGCAGAGGGCGGGGGGGCCAGCGACTCTCCAGGGGAGAGCACGTGTGGGGATCTTGATGGGGGTGGTGACTCAGAGTGCAGCCAGGGACCCTGCCCCAGTGCTGCCTACCGTCTGGGGTGCCTCTGAGGCCTCCACTCAGACAGAGCCTTGGGGTGGGGCCGTGGCACCTGGGCCCCCTGGATGCAGGGGTTGCCTGGCAGGTCCTCAGAGGAAGGGGGGATGCCAGGGATCCCCCTGCTTGTCCCCCATGTGCCAGGGTTGAGGCACTGAAGGGGCAGGTGGCAGTACTCCAGGCAGAGGTGAGCAGTTTGAGGGGGATCAAGGCAATTGAGGAGGAGATTGACAAGTACTTCCTTTCTCTGCAGAGCCAGACACCAGGTAGAGGAGCGGACTGAAGAAGCCCCAAAGCTGTTATGGAAGGATGGACAACAGTCACCTCCAGAGCCAGGCCGCTCGCTGCAGAAATGGATCCACTGGTGCAGTTGGGGAACAGATATGAAGCCCTGGCTGCACTGGAGGAGAGTGAGGTGGAGGAGACGGTATGGGAGGAGCCCCAATACATCCCCAAGCAAGCTGAGGGCCAGACAAGCTACCGGAGGAAGGGGAGATGTGTCATCATAGTGGGAGGCTCCCTACTGAGAGGAGCAGAGGGAAACATCTGCCGCCCAGATCCCACGATGCACGAGGTGTGTTGCCTGCCAGGGGCTAAGATCCGTGATGTCATGCTGAGGATTCCTGACCTGATCTGGCCCTTGGACTACTATCCCATGGTCCTCATCCATGTGGGAACCAATGACGTGGCCAGGAGTAATCCTGATCGTGTCATGGGTGACCACACGGCTCTGGGGGCCAGGCTTAGGGAGACAGGGTGCAGGTGGTTTTCTCGTCCATCCTCCCAGTCAGAGGTCGCAGTAGGCATTACAGCACCTGCATCAGAGAGGTAAACCTGCGGATCAGGAGTTGGTGCTATCATGCAGGATTTGACTTCCTGGACCATGACCCACACTTCCTGGCAAGGGACTTCCTAGGATGCAATGGACTTCACCTCTCAGCAAAAGGTAAAAGTCTTTTTTCCAACAGGTTGGCTGATCTCCTATGTCAGGCCTTAAACTAGCACAGATGTGGGATGGGGGGCAGAAGACGGAGAACATCAGGAACTTGCAATCCATGGGACATCCAGCAGTACAGCACAGGTAAGCAAGAAGGGGCCCATTGGGCATCAGAGCCGGGGGACAACAAAGGCACCAGTCACAGGGTTCAGGTGCCTATACACTAGTGCTAGGAGCATGGGGAACAAGCAGGATGAACTAGCACTCCTGCTTGCAGAAAACACTTACAACATAGTGGGGTTAACAGAAACCTGGTGGGACTCTACCTGACTGAGCGGTACACATTGAGGGCTATAAGCTGTACAGAAAGAATAAAGTAGGGAGGAGAGGGGGGCGGGTTGCACTATGTCAAGGAGAGTTATACATTGACTCTTATCAAAATGGAATTGGAGGAGGAGAAAGTAGAAGGATTATGGGTTAGGATACATGGAAGTCAAAGAGAAAGGGATTTGGGTGTGGGGGTCTGTAGCAGACCCCTACCACAAGGGGAAGAATGAGATTTGGAACTCCTGAGGCAGCTCTAGGAAACAATAAAAACTTGGGAGGTGGTAGTCATGAGGGACTGTGGCAGGGCGCCCTAGGGGTGCTGTGAATTCCCCTAGCACCCCCTGGCTACCATGTCCAGCTGGTGTCCAAATGCGCCCTCACCAATCTCGCCCGCCACGTCTTTGATTTTTTTAAGGGTTTAGGGGAGGCTGCCTTTCCTTTCTGCACTAACACGGTGCCTGCCTTGCTATGCCAGGCCTGGTCCGGTTGCCTGCCAAAGTTCCTTC